GGCTGCACGATCTGCAGAGCGGACCGCCGTACCCCTCACACTGTCAGAAAAAACACAGATTTAACTTATAAAGAAAAAAAACATCAAAACGATCCCTCAGGTGGGTACTGTGCGCAGCAAAACAGATTCTTGTATGGATACTTTTCTCTCACCTCTTCTTTAACAATCTCCTCTATAATGCTGTAAGGAGCATTTTTAAATCATGACCTCTTTTTTTTATATCAAATTATAAATGAAACAAAACTTTGATGTTTCTCTTTAGAGAGATTTTACCAATTTGTCATTTTCACATGCGTTGCAGGCTGTAACTGAAATTATTTAATGCATGATGATGTGTGTGTGCTTGTGTGTGCTTGTGTATGCTTGTGTATGTGTGAATATGTGTCATTCTGTGTGTGTGTGTGTGTGTTATTTGTTGACTCACGGCCTGAATGTGTCTGCCATTTCAGAACATTTCCTTTCTGACCCCACCTTTCTCTCTCACTGTGAAGCCTTCAAGGCACACACACACACACACACACACACACACACACACACACACACACACACACACACACACACACACACACACACACACACACACACTGACATCATCAGGCATCAATCTGTCGGGTTGTCACATCTTTCCACAATGACAGCAATCTCCTCATGACATTTCCATGTGTTAGAGACGGGACATTTTTTTTCAGGGAGGAAGAGGAGGAGGAATGGAGAAGATGAAGGGCGCTGAGCCGTTTAGTGAGTGAGGCATTAAAAAAACGTTCTACTCAGCACACAGCCTGATCTCCTGTGACGTTTAAAGCTCGGACACACTTCTATAAAACCTACAACCTACACTGCAGATTATTTTAGACCGTACATGCAAGTTAGAGTCTGATTCCACCAATGTTCCCCCTTTTAAAAAAAAATGCTTGCAGAGAAGGAAACGTTCTGCATATATTATTCAAAATGTCCAAGTTTTCCGCCTCTTTGTCCTTGAAATTTTTGCTGCATCAGTCAATCAGTGAGGTGTCATTTTTTTATTTTTTTTTTGAGCAGCCGGGTGGGACCAGAGGCGAGAGGGCGAGGTCGTGCTCTTCTTCTTTAACGATGCTCCTGTGGAAAGATAATGAGTGCTCCTACTCCACAGTGAAAAAAATGTCTTCAGGCTCGCACATTTTCTGACTTCATTAACACATTACAGCTAACTACAGTTCACGTTCCACAGTCAGCAGTCAGCCTCAATTAATGGTCCAATTTCCAAGCATATGCAGGACTAACGCCTGTGTCTGTGCACTTGGACACGACCGGCAGATGTTTGGGAATTTGACAACCGGAGGCAGAAGCAGCAGTAGGTGTGGTACAGCTGAAATAAATCATGGCTAATCACATTAGCTCTTCTCAGACCTTTTAAAGGGAGTGCTGCTGCAGACATGGCACTCTCCGACAGTTGAATGGACAATGAAATCTCTGCTGCAGGAGCCGTGTCTTACAAGCAGCATAAATCACAGAGCCACTGGTGCTGTTACAAGCTGGACTTTGAGTCGGTCACTGATTTGATTCTGAACTGAACATAAAATGTGCTGCAGAATAATGCATGTTTCAAAGCCACTTTCACATATGAACTCCTGTACATTTCTGTGTGTCACGTCGAGAGGCTTTACAAAAGAGCATATGGGATAACATGTAGGAAGGATTTCTCCTTTGTAGTCCTCGCGGTCCGGTTGTCCACATTTCTTTGCTGCTGAGGTGGAGATCGGAGCAGGGCGTGCATGAATGAGGACGACGGTTGTTGTGGGGATGACCCAGTCGATGGTGGAGGCTTGGCGTTGGGCTGTGGTTAAGGGACGACACAGTTAGATGGTGGTGGCTGGGCGTTGATTGGTGGTTGGGATGACCCAGTCGATGGTGGAGGCTTGGCGTTGGGCTGTGGTTAAGGGACGACACAGTTTGATGGTGGTGGTTTGGCGTCGGTTGGTGGTAGAGACGACACAGTCCGATGGTGGCGGCTGGACGTCAGGCGGTAATTAAGGGACGACACAGCCAATGGTGGCAGCTTGGCGTTGGTTGGCTGTTGGGACGACACAGTCCGATGGTGGCGGCTGGACGTCAGGCGGTAGTTAAGGGACGACACAGCCAATGGTGGCAGCTTGGCGTTGGTTGGTGGTTGGGATGACACAGTTCAATGGTGGTGGCTTGGCGTTGGTTGGCTGTTGGGACGACACATTTTGATGGTGGCGGCTGGGCGTCGGGTGGTGGTTAAGGGACTACACAGTCCGATGGTGGCGGCTGGACGTCAGGCGGTAATTAAGGGACGACACAGCCAATGGTGGCAGCTTGGCGTTGGTTGGCGGTTGGGATGACACAGTCGATGGTGGTGGCTTGGCGTTGGTTGGTGGTTGGGACGACACAGTCCGATGGTGGCGGCTGGGCGTTGGTTGGTGGTTGGGATGACACAGTCGATGGTGGTGGCTTGGCGTTGGTTGGTGGTTGGGACGACACAGTCCGATGGTGGCGGCTGGGCGTTGGTTGGTGGTTGGGATGACACAGTCGATGGTGGTGGCTTGGCGTTGGTTGCTGGTTGGGACGACACAGTCCAATGGTGGCACACATTTTTTAGAAAATTCTACCTCAGTCTTCCATGAAAATGTTCAAAGTTGAAGTTTACACTTGTCCCTCGGAGCTTGAGGTTTTCCTTGTCCGACTGGGGACCTCATCATTACGGCTTTCAGTCGTCTCTCAACCGGAAGGTCAGGGATTCGATTCCCAACTCCAGCAGCCACATGCCCGATTAACCCCAAGTTGCTCCCACTTCTTCGTTGGCAGTGTATGAATGGGATTAGTTAATACTGATGGACACTTTGCATAGCAGCCTCTGCCATCAGTGTGTGAATGTGTAGGTGTGACCTCCAGTTTAAAAGTGCTAAATTGTGTTATTTTATTGAGTCATTAGCTTAATTGGCTTAAAAGCATCCTGAGCCTTATGTCTCATTTGGAAACATTTAACGACAAAACCTCACATTTTGAGATTCGCTGCGGTGAACCTGACGTTAAAATGTTCCTTTGTGAAGCAAACCCTCCGGTGTTGGAGAGCTCCCAGGAGCTGCCTTTTAGGTTTAAAATCACTCGCGTCCAGCTGGCAGAGCAGAGGCAGAACTCCATGCCAGTTCAAATCAAACGCAGACACACATTATGAACCGTCAGCGAGAGTTGTCTTTATTCCCCCGTTATAATGCTAAAAAGAAAACAATAATGCAGCTACAGTGGTCCTTCCTGTTGGGATTAAAAGTTATTTTAAGAAACACATTTCGAGTTTGGCCAACTTTACTTTTTTCCCTAAACAATACAACACTTCCGTGCTGAATCACCACAGCATTTCCCTTTTTATGAATCTGCTGCATGCCTCCGAAGCTCCAGTCGTGATTTCTGATATTCCCAGGAACACTGTAAAGAAGCCTGCGTGTCTATTTTTAAATTTAAAGTCATGCAAGATTTGATCAAAGAAGCGTTATTTGTTACATGCATCATAATGAGCAGCATCCCTTTGGGCTACAGATGCAGATTAAAAAAAGCTTCCCTGCTGCCTCCCGATGGTTTTAAGGAATTTTATCTACCTGTGTCCTTCACTTTAAAGCTTGACCACCGCTCAGGGAATATTCTACAAATGCTTCTTGTTTTTCATCTTTTGTTAAAGGGGTGGGCTTTTATAATTGTCTGTGCATCCGACGCAAATGTGTTCTCTAAATCAGGTATCTTGAAATAAATTAAGAATCTGTATGTGAGGGGAAGGACTTTTTGAAGCAATATTCCTGTTTGTAATGATGCAAAAGTTGCATGCATTGGATACAAGCAGCATATTAGTCCCCAAAAAATCTGAACACAGTGGCAGGATTGTAACCACAGTAACATCAGATATCGTCATTGTATTTAGCTTTTTGGAAATTGAAGTTCTGCATAATGGCATCTTAGCCCAAAGGACCAGAATTGGACTAAAGTGTGGCACTAGAAAGTAGAGATGTTCCTAGAGACTAATCTTCTATAGATGTTAAACAAAAATTTGCATTCAGACCAGTTGAGTAGTCTATAGGTATGAAAACACTCAGTAAAGACTCAGCATCTGATCCATCCTTCACAACAGGGCCCTAAGTCTCTAGCTAGACTCTTCTCCTCTGTCGCCCCCCGGTGGTGGAAAGAACTTCCCAACTCCATTCGATCTGCAGAGTCCCTTTGCACCTTTAAGAAAAAGCTAAAGACCCAGCTCTTTCATGAACACCAACACACTTCATGATATTGATGATGCTGATGATTATGATATTTAGGATGGTTTTGATGCTGATTAGAACTCTCAAGAAGAGCTGTTGATGTTGTGCTCTGCCTCTGGTCACTTCCTGTCAGCACCTGTGTGTCCGATCGGACTGAAAGCTGATCGTTTGCTCTTACTGACGTTGTTTCCTCCTCTCTAGCTCCTTGACTGTGTTGTTCTTACTCTCTGATGTCTGTCGCTTTGGGTAAAAGCGTCTCCTAATGGAGTCGCAGAACAGTAGATGATGAGGACAGCTTTGTCCACAGGGGGCGCCAAAATCCACTAAAAACTAAACAGTCCTCACAGGAGCTTTGGTGGCTCTAAATGTTACATTTTTCATCTTTTTTCCTGTTCATGGTGATGTAAGGGGGGGCCCGCAGGCTGGTAGATTGAAATGAATTGCCGAGATATTCATGACATATCCTTTCAGTTGATTATTTGGTTAAATCCGAGATGTGTATTATTTGAAAGTTTAGTCATCATGTAACCCACTTGTGTGTTATTGTGTGTGACACTTTCTGCAGTTGCTCAGCGTTTCTTAAAGTCCTAAATGTTTCCAGCTTCCCTCCTGTCTGCAGATTTCAGTGTCTTTATCTCCTTAGTTATGCACTTTTTGGAGTTAGTGGCCTTTTGTCCGAGCGTCGCTTTTACTTTGCACGACATTTATTCTCTGTGTGCCTATTTTTGTGTGTTTGTGTGCGTGTGTGTTTGGGTTTAGGATTAGGTGGACGATGAACATGTCTGGCGGGCCCCTGGGGGAGGATCTCACGGATGAGGAGAAGGAGATCATCAACAGTGTGCTGGCTCGGGCGGCCATGATGGAGAACATGGAGCAGCAGAGGATCGAGTGAGTGAAATCTGTTTTCTCAGTGTCACAGAATCACATCAGTGAAACACACTCACACACACACATGTTCGCCGAGCTGGATGATTTTTGTGGTGAAACCTGTTGCCTAGTTTGTGTCCATGCTCTCATTATTTCGCAGGCGTCTCTCCAGCCGGCTGGATAACATCAAGAAGACGGCGTGTGGGGACGGACAGTCTCAGTGTCTGCTGTGTGGAGCGTCTTTTGGACCGCAGGGGGTCACAGCTGTCCTCTGTGTGCAGTGCAAAAATGTAGGTTTTGCATATCAGGGGAAAAAGGGAGACAATTCAAGAAGAATTCAAAAGTAGAATAGTAAAAAATAAAATTAACATTTTGAAATGAGGTTGAAATAAGTGAACTTTAAATAAGCTTTATCTAAGATATTTACTGAATTAAATAATAAAGTGAACTTACTATATGATCAGACATTAAGAAAACATGCTATGTTGAAGTGCTGGCTTCTCTGACAACAATGCAGCAGCCAGTATGTCCTCCTTCTAATTCCTTCTGATTCTGGTACTGAAGGGTCTGTTTTTATTTGGAACCAGAGAAGGTAGGCGGTTTTAAGGCACCTACACACAGACACTCAGACAAACGGCAAACCAAGAGGTGTTGCAGCGATGGAAGCGGGGCAAGAGAAGTGGTTCAGATAGAAGTGATTGTACCCGACCTAAAAAGCCTCTGCATGTTTCTAATAAGCTCCACGAGCAGAAACGTGCTCAAACTAGGATCAATATTGGAGATGCTTTTGAAAAATGGAGAGAGGTTAGAACACAGAAAGGTTTACAGACCCATGCAGAGCTGGATAAACACTGAAGCTTCAGTGTCCACCACTCGACTCTAGAGAGGAGGGGGCGGGGGGAGACAGCTCTCTAATGTTTTGAATTTGGACTGCAGCACCCATTTTAAACACTAGGTCTCGGAGTAACATATTGCTCCCTTAAGTTTAGCTTTTTTTACATGCAAGATTAAAATGAGCAGCCGTTCTTCTTTTAAAGCATGGCAGATCTGTCTGTAAGCTCGTGGAGCTTATTAGAAACATGCAGATAGGGTCAGTTTATCATTTAATTCACTTCATATCTTGGGCCCTTAATGTCAAGAATAGTTGAGATAACGGGAATAAAAGTCATAATGTTGAGATTTAGACAAACGGTTTAATCATATTCAGTCATTTTTAAAGTTCAACACAGTTCAACAAGTTCAGACATATGGAAATAGAGTTGAACTGGAAGTATGAGTGAAGGGAAAATGGGAGAGGAAGAATTTTCAAGATTCAGTTTTAAAATTAAAATAAAATAGCAACAAAAATCTCTCTTCTCTGATTTATATATTCTCCTCATGCTCGGCTCTAATCCTCTTCCATATGTGTGCAGCTCTCAGCAGGGACAGATTTGTGTTTGCCGTATTTTATACACCGTTGTGTAGCTGTTAAGTGGTTTCCTTCGGCGATGAGCACTCAGTGGGTCATACGCTAACATGTTCTGACATACACGGTGTCCTTCCTGCTCTTCACAACACGTTACTGCTCTCAATAAGGTTAATGCCATCTGAACTGTAACAATCTGTGTGCACCTGCCATCGAGACCTACATCTGCGTTTATGATTATGCTCCTGTGTGCATGTGTGTGTGTGTGTGTCTTATGAGTGTGTTTGCCTCTTTTTGCAGCACATGTGCAGCAAATGCGGGATTTTCAGCAACAGCAGGTCGTGTCCTGTGTGGCTGTGCAGAATCTGCAACGAGCACAAAGAGGTAAGGGGGAGAAATATAAAGAACAGAGCGGGTTTGATAAGATCATAACAGCTAAATTATGCCATTATGTCTTTTTTTCCTGCAGCTTTTCTTGTGATCTGAACCATTTTGTGCCTTTTACACCCACTCTGAACTGCATTTCACTGCCCAGTGACCTGGAAAATTACCCTCCATTGATACCACCTCAATATAGAAAAAACGAGTAATAGGCTAGGGATTTATTTCAGCGCTATTTAATTATAAGCCCACTGATAGTATATGGATGAGTATGATACATAAAGCATGCAGTTGTACAATGCCGTTGTGGTTTTGGCGCTGCATTTGTTCAGGTCTGCGCCTCAGGGAGATCAGACTCTTTAAATAAATGCTCCCTCCCGTCAGTCACACACTGAAACACCACTGTGTAACGCTCTGAATACAACACCGTCATGTCTGTTCCAATATCATAAAGAAACGAGGAATAAGCCCAATATTTTTATTGTTTAAAAAAAATCTGAGAGTTGATGAATTTTAATATAAACAATCACAATACACACAAAAGAATTTTGAAACGTATTTCATCTTTGAAGCTCTTTTTTTTCCAGAGACGTCAAAAAGGCTGTAGTACCACTTTTTGCCACTAAAAGCAGAAACAACTGAAATATAGGCCAACTTTCCTACTAAAATACAAGTCAACGTGTTTCATCTACAAGTACGTTAACTTTAGTTTAGTGGCGACTTTGAAATACCTTTTTACTTTTCATTTCAGTTGAAGCTTCAGTGGCTTTTTTCTGGCCATTTGGGGGTTTTAGTTTTTAGACACAACATCGACATATAATTTGTGTCTCAATTCAGAGCTAGGATCCTAGGAAGGACCCAGCTTTCCCCCCGGCCCATGTAGACCACTTAGGCTGAAAGGGAGGATTCCCTGTTTGCGACACAAAATCTCTTACCTTTTTGTTTTTGAGTGCCACCACTGTCGCCTAGCAACCTCAACAGATGCACCAGATCTAGCTAACATAAGTCAAGTTACCTGGATTAACTGATTCTTTTAAAAAGGTCATTAGAATTTGAAGGCCTCTTTTAGTAATTAGTAGCAACAGTAAAGATTGTAGAACTGAGAAATTAATTTTGGGATATGTTATTACAAAAAGGATGAACCAGATGGATCCTGTGTTGGTCGGGGAAAGGAGTACGCATTTGCCGGCAGCATTTGAAGGAGCCTCTGAAATTAGACATCACAGCCGTGACATAATCGGCCCTCAAATGCGCACTTCAAAGGAAGCAGCCCCTGAATTGGACAAAGCTACCATCACCTTTAAATAATATAGTGTACAACACTTTCTTAGCTATAGGAGCAAAACATTGTTCTATAAACATCCCAAAAAAAACAACCATTAAGATCGACCAAAACATAAGTAGAGTTATATAGAAGCAGACAATGAAAAAGAAGAACCTAGAAAAAGACATCTAGAAGTTATAGATCTACTTAATCATTTGTTGAGAGTCGTATTAACGTGCCTTTCAATCTGCAACCTTACAGGTGTTAAAGCTAGTGGTACATTCATTCTTTAGAAATGATGTGACAGAATTTGTTGTCATTATTCAATCTGAATTCGCCGTGTGTTTCTGCAGGTACAGAAGCGTTCAGGAGCGTGGTTCTTCAAGGGGAGAGACCAGCAGAGTCTGCCTGCCGCTCTCCCTCTCTCCGGTTCTCGACAGTCCAGCATTGAGAACAGCTATGCTCCAACAGGTCAGAACGGATCACAGGAACCAACACGGCATCAGGGATACGGTAAAGCATACAAGGAGATTAAGTTTAGAAGAAATTGACAGATGTGCTAACATGCCAAGTCTATAATATAAAAACCAAAATCTGACATTCACAGGTCCACTTTTCAGTCTATATCTGTTTCTGAAACCACGTACTGCCTATTACACTCTCAAACAGTTCATACTGCATACTAAACCATGGGTCACATGACACATAGTATAAGTCAACAACAATATACATCCATCCATTTCTATTACAGCCACGTAGTCATTTTAATTTAAACGTAACATATTTTACTCCTTTTCAACTATTTTAAATAAGCCTCATTGGTCCCCAAAACATGTGTGTGAAGTTTCTTGTTCTAAATCCACTCTGATCCTGTATTTTATCATGTCTATAAACCCCTCTATTTCAGCCCTGCTCAGAACAGGCTGTTACTGTGTCTGTACCTTTAAATATGTAAATGAGCTGTGTCTGACCACGCCCCCTCTCTGGAAGGGGATGTTGCTCGAGCTTTCTTGCACCATGTCGTATTTTTAACCGTGAGAAGGCAGACTCAGAGGGCAGAACAAACACCTAGCTGTGGGAGTGTCACCCACCTGGGGGGAGGGGTTACTGCCCTTTGTGATGTCATGAAGGGAAAATCTCCAAACGCCCTGTTTGAGCACACATTTTCTGAAAAGTGGAGCAGGCAAAAGACGGAGAGGATGGACTTTTATCATAACTGGAGGGTTTGAAGACAGACTAGGGACACATATTAGTGTTAGAAAAACATGGTAGAGTATAATTTTACTTAAAATATCTGCATTATTTTGCTACCTCATAGTAATAGTACACAAAGAGGAGCTTTGGGTGCAGCACCAACAGCAGCTGTTTTGGGTGGCAGTGATGTGGGTCTTTTGTCTCCTCAGAGCTCGGTGCAGATCATCAGCAGCAGCAGTCCTCCGGGTCAGAACAATGGGAGCAGACAGCAAGAACAACAGCTGACAGCTATAATGAGAGTCAGACTTGTCCACCGGCTGTAATGAAGACTGAGAGACAAGTGTTAGCCTCCAAACCGCCGCGGGCAAACGCCCAGTCAGCTGCCCCCACCACCGCAGGTAAAGTCACACTGCTCTTTCTAAGAATAAGACAAGTGCTGTGGGGGCTGATTTCAGCGTCAACAACAACATACTATAATGTATTTTCATACTGAATTTACAGCTGCTTTTGTTGTGTTTATGTTTTGCTAGCTCCTCCTGCAGATGTGGGAAACAAACTCCAGGAGAAGGCAGAGACAGTTTCCCCTCCAGCTGTTCAGGAAAAAAGGGCACCTGTGGTCTCCAGCTCCATTTCATCAAATACACCTACAAGCAGAATTATTCCACCTGTTAATCCACCGGTCAACAACCCCGCTCCCCCGAAACCTCCACCAGATCGAACAGAAGAAGACGATAACGACTACGACTCAGATGACGCCAGTAAGACTGATCTTACCTCCTTAACAAATCGTCTTCCCCGAAGGCAATGTTTACTTTTGTCCAATTTAGATCACGTTGAATAAGAACAAGTCCATCTCATGTGGCCTCCAGCTGATAAAAGAAGTTCTCAAAGGAGCAATGAAGATAAACAAATTGATGTTTATCTGTTTCAGTGGAAAATTGCTTTCTCTTAAATTCCATAAAAGTCCGGATTTCACTTTTCCCTCTCGTGTGTTTTTATTTTGCAGCAACTCTGGGCTCTCTGGAGTTCAGTCTCCTTTACGAACAGGAGAACCACACCCTGCACTGTTGTGTCGTTAAAGCCAAGGTAATAACATGAATACAAATGAGAGAAAAGAGGGGCAAATAAAACAAGAGTAAACAAGATAGTACCAAGTGGCAACCGCCGGTGTTGAAAAGAGAAGCCGATGCAGAAGTGCAAAACCCTGCAGTTCCTCGAGTGTCCACTTGAGGCTCACTCCAGAAGCACAGGAAGTCACATACACACCCCATTCAAAAAAAGCCTGTTTTTACAGCAGACTCCCACTCTGACATCTCTCTGTTGAGGAATTGTGCAGAAACTTGACTTCACACAAGAAAGATTCAGGAGACTCAGAGAAAGGAGACAAAGAACAGAACTAGAGGTAGCCAGCTAGCTTGGGACAAAGTTGGGTTTTCTTACCTTCAGACAAAGCTAGGCTATCAATATTGATGTTGATTTTTAAATGGAATTCATTCTTGGGATGAATGAACAGTTACTGGCTATGTTACCTCAGCATAAAGAACAGAAATAGAGGTAACCAACGAGGTTGGGACAAAGTTGGGTTTTCTTACCTTCAGACAAAGCTAGGCTAGGCTAGCTGTTTCCCCCTGTTACCAGTCTTTATGCTAAGCTAATTAAACTGACTCCTGGATATAGCTTTAGTCATCAAACTCCAGCAAGAAAGAGAAAAAAAAGTTAGTTTGACTCAACAAAAACCTGCCAGGGATTACGGGACAACAGATGGTTTGAGTCGAAGACTTGCGTACCACATGAGGTACAGTGTCTTGCCAAGCTAGTTCTGTCAAACCATCTCATAGGCTTTGTAAAGTTCAGGGGCATATCACCCTACATACTCTACATAAACTTGAATGTGGTGTCTAAGACAATTGGGAGCAGGCACCAAGTCTGCCAAACAATCCAGATATGAGAGGAGACACTAAGTGGCCTTGGTGGGCATCGTCACAGCCCAACCCTCTCAGCTCTGACGTAAGCTAAATAATGTCTGCACATCGAAAGAGATTCCAAATTCCATCACACTCTCCACTAATGCATGTCCACATGTAATGTTTGTGCATGTTTGTATTTTGGGCCTATGTGTATGAGAAGCATGTCAGTGTAAAACTAGAATTGCCCATTGGGGATTAATAAAGTATGGCAAATTTCACAAAACAATAACAATAACAAACCAACAAATTATCAAAAACAATACCAGACAAGACGAAACAAGATTGGACACATTGGGTAAAACAAAAGACCAGGCAAGACGAGGATTGACCAATAAGTTTGAATTATTTTTTTTAGCAATATATGACATGAATAACTCCAAGAATTAAATATGTGGAAGATTGTTGCAGAATGAATTAAGTGTGAAGTTTTCTTGGAAGCGTATCTAAATTATTTCTCTTCATGTGTCTCAGGGGTTTAAAGCCGATGGACTCAAACGGACTCGCTGACCCGTATGTTAAGCTGCACCTGTTACCCGGAGCCAGTAAGGTACCATTATGTTAATTACATCTTCAATTTTCAATTGCACATTTTAGATAAAGTAGTTTGTCACAGTTTTAGACTCTTTAAATTGTTTTAATTGAAGCTTTAGGAAGCCAAAACGCTAATGCAGAGCAGAGAAATGTTGTGTTCAATGATCTCATATCAGCGCACAGCTTGAGAACAGTGTGTAGGAGTGTGTTTATTCAATCTGAGATGCACTGAAATGACTGGATGTCGAGAAAACCCATCAACTTATTTTCATGACTTCAAATATAGGGGAATGATTTATGATGTGTCATATTATGTTATTCTCTTGACTGAACATCTTGCTCTCTCTCTGAAATGGAGCAGTTAGCTAGCTTCAGGCCAAACGGTTTGACATGACCACCATCAGTTTGTCAGTTATTTCTCAAATACCCCCCCCGCCCCCCCCTAACGTATCCTATCTTACATTTCTCTTTTTTTAACCGTGGATGTCTTCTGTTGTGTTTTCGGCTCCTCAGTCTAACAAGCTTCGTACCAAAACACTTAAAAACACTCTGAATCCTGTGTGGAATGAGACGCTTGTCTACCACGGTATTACAGCTGATGAAATGTCACGCAAAACCCTCCGGTAAGAATAACCTCAGCTTACCTTTTTCTTCAGTTGTACCACTAAAGTGCTGCAGGAATGAGTCTTAAAGGATCCTAGTTTGAAATAAAGGTGATGCTTTCTGCAGATTGATCAAACAGACCTCGCAGCACTTAGTAAAAGACATAGAAGTACAAGGCACCTTGTTTCTGTGTCTTTAGGCTTTCTGTGAGTGACGAGGACAAGTTTGGACACAATGAATTCATCGGAGAGACTCGAGTCGCCCTGAAGAAACTGAAGTTTGATCAGAAGAAGAACTTCAGTGTTTGTTTGGAGCGAGTGATCCCGGTAGGCCTGAGGACAACACTCAGTCACAGAATGAAACATTGAATACTGCATGTTTCAACTCAGGGGACAGTTATCCCAAATAAACACTTTGGAGCTACTATCTCGTAAGAAATTACACTTCAGTGAAGTAATATTGACGTCGATTTTTTTTATGTAATTCATTCCTGGGATGAATGAACAATTACTGGTTATGTAACCTTAGCATAAAAAACAGAACTAGAGGTAACCAGCTAGCTTGGGACAAAGTCTGGTTTACCAACAAGATTTTGATATGCCATCTGGTTGGGTTTTCTTACCTTCAGGCAAAATTAGGCTAGGCTAGGCTAGCTGTTTCCCCCTGTTACCAGTCTTTAAGCTAAGCTAATTAAACTGACTACTGGATGGAGATTTAGTCATCAAACTCCCAGCAAGAAAGAGAGAAAAAAGTTAGTTTGACTCAACAAAAACCTGCCAGGGATTACGGGGACAACAGTACTTTTTTCAGCAACAAGCTGAGACCAAGAAGTAATATAGCAAACAAGTTTAGCCGCACCTATAAAAACACAACATTTCAAGTGGCCATTGTACTGCTGGAGTCTTTCATGCTAATTGTATAAATGAGGTATAACATGTTATTATTAATGACCTTTGAAAGTGGTTGTAGGGGAAATCAACAGGTACCCTATTGTCACATAGCTGGAAAAGCTGTTTCAAGTCTTTATGCTAACATAAGCTAACAAGCTGATGGCAGTAGCTTTGGATTCATTGCTCACAGTAAAGTTAATAAGAGTATTTCCCGAAATGTTATACTGTTTCATTAGGTGTGTTCTATATTCTTGAGTTTTTTTGTATAGAGGAAGGCATGATTATAGCAATAGCGGTGAGGATGATGGAGATTCATTTGTTTGTACTGGTTTACTCTCTTTACAGGTGAAGAAAGCTGTAGGCGGACCAGCTCGTGGAATGGCTCTCTATGAGGATGATGTAAGACCCGCAAATAAATCTTCTACTATTTGACTGTGCATTGGATATTGGGACTTTTCAGCAGTATACATTTCAAGGTTTGGTAGATCGTCTATATTTAAGAGATTGTCCCGGAGAAAGCAAAAATAGAATATAATTCAAGCCTTGGCGAGAAGTAAGAAGAAAATGACCAATGGTAAATTCCCAATGGCTGGCTAACCGTTGTTTTTCTCTTTTATATTCTTCATGGGCTACCACACTCACTAAAAACCTAATTTAAGTCCGTAAAGGTTAAGTGTTTAGGCCTCAGGGTAGAGATTGGGATTCAGCCCTGGACTTCTCCCGGAATTTTTTCAGAGCAACAAAATGTCAATGTAAATGTTTCAACCATTTATTGCATAATAACATATATATGAAGACTTTCACTTAGCGCATGCATTATCCTCCATTAGAAGGCATTATGTTAATCATGGTATTATCCCTACAGATATGTTTACAGGCCAAAGGAGCATTAAGATCAGTGAAATGACTGGTGTGCGTGTTTGTGTGTTTGCAGCTAAATGAAGGTGAAGACTCAGAGGAGAGGGGTCGTGTCCTTGTATCACTGATGTACAACAGCCAGCAGGGTCGTCTGATCGTGGGCGTGGTCCGCTGTGCCCATCTGGCTGCCATGGACTCCAATGGATACTCTGACCCTTTCGTAAAAGTGTACGTACTAGATCCCTTGGCATACTGATTTTTCAAAGATTTGCACCATTTACTGTTTAAAACATGAACTTTTTTAAGTTTTATTTTGAGGCTATTATGCCATTAATTAGACATAGCCAAGTGGACAGTCAGAAATCAGAGAGAGAGAGAGAGAGAGTGGAAAGTAATCACAGGTCAGATTCAAACCCTGGCCGCCTGCTTGGATGACTACAGCCTCTGTACATGGGGGCGCACGCGCTAACCACTAGGCTACCGAAGCCCCCACAATTGGTTTTTAAAAAGCGTTGTGAAGAGTGGTCGAAACCTTGAAATGCTATCTCAACCTAACTTTCAGTCAATCTAGCAACAGATAAAAAGTTGGAGCTTAAGCTTCCTGGTAAACATCTACTATGCATACAGCTGTCAGTCAACTAAGCCACGCCTCTTACATAACTCTCAGCCTCAATTTAATAAAACTGTTGAGTCATTGAAAACTCAGCATTTTACAGTTTCTACCAATAAAAAAATGAAGTAGACCACAATTATTTATTTTGAACCAGGCGTTTATTTTTGCTATAAAATATACATTTAAACATGGTAACCTAATTGGGATTCCGTGCCTTTTGGAGCCTGCCTCAAGTGGACATTCGGGAAACTGCAGTTTTTTACACTTCTACACTAGAGGTTGCAAATTGATTAGCACTTATTAAATATTTCTAGATTAAAGTTAAGGAAAGTTAAATTTCTGAACTTTATGCTTGATCTTGTTTTGCTGAGAGACGGGTTAAACTTTAAATACAACTTTTATGTCTGTATGATAAATAATAAGCTACATCCAGAAGTTAGTAAACTTAGCTTAGCATATTTTAGAACAGAGATTTGAACAGGGGAAGCTAGCATGGCCAACTATAGCATCTCTAAAGTACATTTGTTTTATCCTTACAAAACAATTCCCATCTGTTGTTAAAACAATGAATGTTACATAGGTTAGTGATGCTACATTTCATAGTATATTTATTTATGACTCATGGCTCCTTTGTGTTTAGATGTCTGAAGCCAGATATGGGAAAGAAAGCCAAGAACAAGACCCAGATAAAAAAGAAGACCCTTAACCCAGAGTATAACGAGGTCAGTGGTTTTTATAACTGTTGCTCTGAACTTGCTCAACTGGATTTAATTTTAAGCAATTTGCAATAAACTCGATGTCCTTTCACTGTGTTTCAGGAATTCGGTTATGAAATCAAGCATGGCGAGCTAGCCAAGAAGACCCTTGACATCTCCGTCTGGGATTATGACATGGGGAAATCAAATGACTTCATTGGTAAGTGGGGATCTTGAAATCACAATTGCTGTTGTGGCTGTAGGGGGAACAATGTCACTAGTTGGCTGACTCACCGCTTGAGACTAAAAAATTCCCACAGCAATCAAATGAATTGTCGTTAAATTTGGTACGGACATTCATGGTGCCCAGATGATGAATTCTTTATTGACTGGATCATTTTCAAAAGGATCCACAAACAGATTTTAAGGGCTTCTAATTCAGGATTGGCAGTGCCTTAAAGTGGTTTCTCACTACATACTTTGTCCACAGGGGGCACCAGAATCCACACAAACTGAATGATCCTGACAGTTACTTTTAACGGTACCTTATTTGAGTGGTAACTTAAGAAATACAGCCTTTCTACTGCAAAATAAATTGAGAAAAATGTTCTTAAATATCCACTACGTAGAACATTTTAAATTCTTGACCAATCTTATTGTTTCTTTACATTTTTCCAGTCTGAATCCATACCTCTGCTGTTGTCAGGATAATCCTTTTTTTTATCAAAGCTATCCCAATCATTCTCATAAATTTTAAACAACACAAACTAGACACTTTATCCGGGATCAAAAACCAAGATTACATTACTTGACCTTATTTGTTTAATCCTTCTTTCTTCTTTTCAACAACCTGATTTCAATATTTGATCCAATCCGTTAGCATTTATCCTGTGGGATTAAGGTGTGTTACAAAAAAACAAGACTAAGTTGCTGATAACACTTCAATGTACGGAACAGCCATCTTGGATTTTGAGCTTTGGTTATTCAAGAGTTTTCGAGTCTGAGTTCCTACTTCAGGGGGCGTTCCTGATTATATTTCTACAAGCATTTGAGTATTTCTGACTTCCAAGATCCAATGGAACGCACCATTATTTTTGAACAACTGGACTCATCACTTCAGCCCTGTCATTTTTAGCAGGTCGACATTTGCCTTTTTCTCTTTGCGTGGTAAAAACGTTAATATGTACTTTTCCTCCCTGTCCCTCCAGGTGGATGTCAGTTGGGCATCCAGGCCAAAGGAGAGTGTTTGAAGCACTGGTACGAATGCCTCAAGAACAAAGACAAGAAGATTGAACGTTGGCACGTCCTGCTAAACGATAACACGGCCATGTTTGAGGATTAAAAAAAACGTCTTCCCTTCTTATTAATTAAGTACTTGTTTTCTCTATTGTTCTCCCTGTGGAATATTGTCTTCCTGTTAACATCGGCAGACTGATATTATCCTCTTGCTTTTATTTCCCTTCATGTCAATGTACAAGCTGCATTTCCAATAGTTTTCAGGTGACCAACATGGATGTCCTTAAAGCTCTTTTTTCAATGAGGAGCGATCACTAAACAAAACCAGGAAGCTCACATTTACACTGCTATTACACTATCAGCTGTATGATATTATTAAAACCTCACCTGCCATGCTGTTATGACTGAACAAAGTGATTATACTCGTATTTTATGGAGGAGATTATCATTATCATAAAGTCAGTATGTCGTAAAGCCTCCACGTTCAGACACGAGAAAGGGAATTCCCGGCTCTCTGACCCCTTTTCTGACCCCACCTGTGCTCTTCTCATATGAGATCATGGTATGTTGCTATCAGCTGATCTGTGTGACCACATGTTTTGACTGCTTGCATCACAAAAACATCCACTTTGCTTGTGTAGTTGTGCATAAATAATGTGCATCATGCATTATGTTTTCTTTGGATAAGGACCGGTAAAGATGTATACGGTTACAGAAATTATGTGATAACATGATGGTCTCATTGTCACCTGTGCATGTGTGTCTGTCTCTAAAGGCCTACAATGCTTCTGCATGGTGTTTTAATTGTAAAGAAGTAATTAATGCAACTTAAAGCGTAAAATATTCCTGCAGAGGTATATTTGATGAATGCATTTCAATGCCAGGTTATCCGATTTGCACACGTTTTCAGCTAAATAATCAACACTTTGCTCCCTGATGTGTATTCATATCGGTGCATGTCTTAACTCATGTTGTAGCAAACACGTGGCTAATAAATAAAAGGATCATGGCACTTCCTTTTTTTTTTCTCCTCTGCTGGCTTCAAACGTGTTGTGACATGGCAGGAAACTTTGTTTAAATCAGGCGAGGTTTGGACCAATCAGCTGAGGCAGACACGCAGCGGAGAAGTTTGTGAACTTTGACTTCTCTTGATAAAAAAAAGAAAAAACTTGTCTTTGGTTCAAGTGGGTGAAAGTTTATGTACTCTGAACGATGTGAAAAAGTATGTCCTTGAATTTAAGCAAAGACATAATCTACCTTTCTCGTCTGTGGTGAGGATAAATCAAAAGATAGGGCTTATGTTTGAAAAAGAACAATCAATACAGCTGATCCGACTTCTCCCTGAGACCTTCAGACAGCAGGACAGACATAAGTTGCACATTTGCTGCAGCTTAAAACTTTCTAAAGTATCTCATTTATTTATACAAAGGGTGAAAAAAATCAATACTTGAATGACTTGACTGTCAGCATATAGTTACACATAAAAAAGTCAATTTAGACAATACAGCCATGAGAAAAAGTAAAGAGTCACGATAATTCAGATCTCTAAATTATGAATATATGGATTCTAATGTTTTGCATTTTTCTTATTTTTAAATATTTGCTATGTCATGCGAAGGATGACTCCCTCCTTGATCAAAAGACTCACAGGTTATGACCTCATCCCCGGACCCCCCTCGTATAACCAGCAGCAACAAAAGCGAACTGATGCACTGTCAGGCCAAAATATTCTGTAATCAAACTTTGTACACGCCCCGTAATGTGGCAGGGACAGTGTGCAATGTAGACCAGGGGTGAAACTATGGAAGCCCTTAACAGAACATGCAGCCAAACACTTTATTTACTCCATTTTCCAGCGATAACAATAAATTACCAATTTATTTTTGTTGTTTTCTCAACATCTCAGCTGAGATGCAATTTAAGCACAAATCAAACATGGAAATGAATGTATCTCATACCTAGAGTTGTGCCGGGCTGTTATCTGACCCATCACAGTGACATCACAGCCCATTGTTTGCTTTCAAGATCCCCAAGAAAATGCTCCGACCCACTAGTTGAGAACCACTGATTTTGACCGCCTGCCTGTGAGGTGACAGCAGATTAACTGCTCAATGTAGCTTCTTCATATTAGGCTAAATAAATATTAATATTGGATTCAACTTTATATTTTTGACACATGTTCATAAAGGAAGAATATGCAACTTTTTGATCCAGTAGATGTCGCCCTTGAGCACCAGCATGAAACCAAAACAAACTGCTGTTTGGCCACGCCTCCTCTATTCTGAAGCCTCCACCCTCCTCCAGCGACACACCTCCAACCCCTCTCCCTCGTGTTCACAAGAAGGAGTTTAGCACAAGGGGTGGACAAAATTGTAAACACGGCTCTGACAACAACACAGCCAGCTGGATTCAGCTTCTCACACATTGTAGACAGTCATGACTCTGAGAGACATTTACAGAGGATACAGTATACTTGATTTCTGCCATTTTTACATGTGTAAAACATCAGACATTTTTAAACTGAACCAATGTTATAGGTTGGAAAGCCCTGCAATAGTTAAGATTACATAACATTGAGCCATCACAACATTTAAAACTTAATTCTAGATAATATGGCAATTAATTATAAGGTGGTTAATTGTTTTTAGAGTGCAGGTTATTTTGACAAACCCCTTCAGTCCCAACTACGCTGAAGCTTTTCACCAACTGCAGTAATCAGAAACACACAGAAACAGACTTGAGTTTTGTGAAAACGGTGGCGTTCCTCTATGAAAGGACGATTTCCTCTGGGCTTCAGATTTCACAAACGACCTTCATGGCTCGTCAGCCCACAATTCTTCTCTCCTCCCCCGAGTCCACTGTCGACCCCCCCTGCCGTCAGTGAAGGCCACATGTCATAAAAATTGATAATTAGCATGATAAGAGCTGACACTTTTTCCTCAGGGCAGCAGCATCTCTCTGAAAAAGAAATATAGCGGTTTTAGAAGGTGATGAAACTAATGTTCTGACTTCAAAATTCTTCCAGTGACAGTCAGTAAATCTGAATGAATGTGTCCTAAAGCTGTGATGCAAAAAAAAAAAGAAAACTAGTTCACATCAAAGTTTCCATATTTCAAGGGACAAGTGGTATAATCAGGATAGCAGGGCTAAGCCGTCCCGTTCTTTTACAATAATAAAGTTTTAAAGAGGACATATTATCCCCCCTCCTCCACCTTTTCAAACAGTCCCCCTGTGGTCTAAATGAAACATCTGAGCTGTGCTTTGGTCAAAATATAACATGAATCAAGCACCAGAGGAGGTTTGTGACCCTGTGTAAACCAGCTCTCTCAGAACGCTCCGTTTTGGTGTGTGTGTCTCTTTAAATGCAATGAGCCGCCCCCTGAGTCCATGGGTGGAGATATCAGGGGAGGGGAGGGATGGGCGTTCAAAATGCATCCACTAGATGGCGACAGAAGGTCTCTCACTGTTGCTGCGGTCTAAATGACATTAATTTTCCGTCCGATGTAGGAAAAAATGTTCTGTTGCGTTATCTCGCACTCGGCCTACGGCGCTCCTGCCCCCATCATTTCTGGTGATATTGCAAATATTTAGTCTGTATCTGTAAGTTTCTAGAAAATTGCCAGAAATGCAGACAAAATGAACGCAGATTACGCAGATAAGGCTCCAATCAAGAGCAACATTTAGCCTTAAATTGTTTTCTTTTTTAAAGTCCAAACACTGGAGCACCCTCTGCCATTTCGTTCCGTAGTGTACGAGTGACAGGTGTCATGACACGCCCACTTGTGTTGCTGATCATTTTGGGTTAAAGTCATTTAGCACACAGGCCAATGCCAAAAGTGTAGAGATGCAAAGAAACCAACTTAACATCTCTTAAATGTCAGTTACAATCAACTAACTTTAAACTCTTTTAATTATGTACAGTAGTTTGTCTTTTAAGTTAAAATGGCTGCGATCACTGCTAATTCCACAAAGCCTGTGTTTCAGCAACAAGCTGACAAAATTAAAAATACATTCTGGTCAACCTCTGGAGGATGATGTGCCGCACACCACAGCATATTTTCTTACATTTTCTGTTTATAAGCTATTCTTGGTCTCATCTGTGTTTGAAATGAGAAAGAATAGACTGCAAAAAAAATGAGTGAGAGAGAGAGAGAGAGAGAGAGAGAGAGAGAGAGAGAGCACTTTTTAATTTGATCAAATAGTAAAAAATGTATTCATTTGTCAGATTGTCATTAGAGTCATATTTGCAGATTGATAACCTATTTAGCTTGTGTGAATCGATTTGTCGTAGTCACTGCCAATGGTGTGTAGTTGTGTGTGTGTGTGTGTGTGTGTGTGTGGGGGGGGGGGGGGGACAAGGGGAGAGAGAGAGAGAGAGAGAGAGAGAGAGAGAGAGAGATGTTTGAGTACACCGACAGGTCACATGACTCCTGATGATTTGCATGTTGCGTTTATTTTAGCTCCCCACCCGCACGCCTCCCGCCTCTTTTTTCTCATTTAAAGCCGACCTGGAGCTTGAAAATCGGTCTCAAAGTCCTCAAAGAGTGGAGCAATAACTACTTTCCGACTGTAGCTTTAGCTTTAGCTTTTCATTCATTATTTCTCGCTGTTCCTGACGCGCCACCATGACGCACATCGCTCCTCTTCTCACGCTGCTTTTCACATCATCAGTCGTGCGATGGGCGGCTGCAGAAGCGTCGATCCTCTGCCCCTGGACTAGGGTTTTACCCAGCGAACAGGTGCACTACACTTTTGTCCGGAGGGACCCCCGGCAGGCCTCTCCATCTCCGCGGCTCTACCACAGCGCCTGGTCCGGACGCACTCTGCTCAGCTGCGCCTGGAGCGAGCACGCAGGGGTGGTGCAGAACTATCTCTCTCTGTGCCAGGAGCGCACGCACGAGTTTGTCGATCACTCAGATGACAATTTTAATACGGACTTCATGTTCGAGGCAGGGGACATGTGCGTGTCTGTGGATTCAACTGATGCCGGAGGGCGCGCTGGGAAGAGGTCAGTGAGGAGCGTGGGTGGTTCATCATCTGAGAAACACGAAGGTCGAGCTGAGAGGTCAGAGGTCAGGAGCCGTGTGAAACGTGGATTTATTGTGCCAGGGACCCTCTGGTGTGGCTCAGGAAACAAAGCTCCATCATTTGATGACCTGGGTATGTTGTTTTGAATTAAACCATTAATGAACATGATAATAAAGTTAAACTTTGGTTACATCTAAAGGAGTCTTTAGATGAATAAAGGGATAAAAAATAATTCTCCTCAAGCATCTTAAAGCTCATGTTTTCAGCTGGTTATAAAACAGCCTTACATTGTTGCATCTTTATATCCTATAAAATCTGACAAATCCAGAATCATTATCTATATGGTATGAAACTCTGCCTCAAGACGATTCACAGCGACCTTTAGTCGACATTTTCCACAGCAGAGATGCTCGATGAGCGATGAAATTGGCTGTGACAAAAGCTGGATGAGATTTTGTTTCAAACTCTATTTACACAAGTACATGACAAGATCAGCAAAGCGGTGAGATGTCCCATTTTGTCTACAGGCGGCACCAAAATCAAGACCAAAAGTTCCTCACAGGAGCTTTAATTCGATAATTCAGTTTGTTTGATCCAGTAATGGAATTTTATGTAAATGTTGTTTTCCAAAAACCTGGATTAGAATTTCAAGAAATTTAATTTTCATTCAGCTTCCATGCATTTTAAGGTTTTATCAAGTTTTATAAAGTTATACAAAAAGTACATTTGCTGTTGTGTAAAGCTGCAAGACTTTGGAGAGATTGGTCAAAACTGATGCAGCACAGACTGAGATATCCTGATTATTTTTTGTGTGTTCAAACTGAATGTTATTTTTTGTGTGTGGCACAATTAAAGCTCCCGTGAGGAGTTTTTAATATGGTTATTAAACAAACTGAAATGAACAGTGATGCCTCTTTATGACCTACAAAACCAAATGAAACCATCAGTGACAATATAATCATTGCTGTATTGTTATTAATGTCTGAAATGGCTGCTGCAGGGTAGGTGAGGTTTATAGCTGGAAAAAAACAATACTTACATGTAGGCTACAGGACAAATCAGCAAAGATGTGCGTTTCTGCTTTGTCCACATGGGGTCGCCAAGAAATCAACAAATCCTCACAGGAGCTTTACATACAAAGTATAAAAAAAGAGAAAATACTCATGTTATTTCTTATTTTAAACCTCAGTGAGATATTTGTCTGATGCTGTGCTGCAAAAAAACCTACATAGATTACTTACTCATTTTCTGAAGTTGCATCAAAAATGGTTCTCAACAGGTGGGTCTGGGCCCAAAAGTCGGTCGTGGAGCTCTTTTTAGTGGGTCGTGAATGTTTGTATGGAAAAAATGTTGTGCCAAAAAGCCTTTGAAGCGCTTGTTTGTTTTGTTCCGTCTCTTTGTTCCGTCACGTTTTGGACTGTCTGAGGTACAAACTACACTTTTTTCCATGTAATAAATCTGTGGTCTCCTTTGCTATGTTTACACTCCATATTTACTGGCTAGCTTTTTTCTTTTCTCCACTCTGCATTTACTTGAGCATTGCTTGCAGTTGGCTTTTAACTGCATGTTTTAAATCTAGTGGTAGGAATGTGTATTGCATCGTCTTCATCAGAAGGTGCCACGATTGGTAGCTGTACATACCAAGTAGACACAGCCTCTTGGTTTTTAGATGAAATCAGAGTGGAAGTGATTTCAACCTGCATTCTCTTAATGGCCAGCAGGGGGCGACTTCATGCGCTGAAATCAAGTGGCAACCTCTGGTGTTAAAAATGTAGAACAAAAAACTGCAGTTTCTCAAATGTCCACTTGAGGCTGCCTGCAAAAAAAGGGTCACTATACCTCATATCCATATTCATAAAACTGTAAAGTTTTGATTATATTGAGGCGCAGAGTTATGCATACATTTGCGTACATTCGGCATGGATGAGTTGACTCACAGGTGGGCTCATTGCAGCTGTTTGTCAGTAGCTTTAGGCCTGTCTCAGCTCCACCTCTTTGCCTGTTCATTGATTGATTAAAAGTAAGGGGAAGTTAGCATTTCCAATATGGCGACCTTCATCATTAGGCTTCATAATGCCTCTTCAGAAACCAACGGGTGACGTCGCTGAGACTACGTCCATGTTTTACACAGTGTATGTTCGCAAAAAAAGAAGTCTGATCATGTAGAATAATTTCATTCCTCAGTGATTAATTTCCTCATGAGCTTATGAATCTGAATCTATTGTTTCTCGTCTTCTTCAGATTATCTATTAAAGAAAAACTAATTTTATCAGTTAATGACTCGAGACGCAGGAGGGAATCAAAATGCAATTATGTTGCTATAATAATCGTATCATTTATCTCTGTCTCTTTCTCTCTCCTTGCCTCGTGCAGGTGTTTTTTCAGACACAGACAGCTGCTGCCGAGAACACGACCAGTGCAAAGACACGATCCTGTCCTTCCACTCACAGTTTGGTGTCTTTAACAGCAACATCTTCACCATGTCTCACTGTGACTGTGACAACAAGTAACTACACCACTTATTTAGTAACAAAAATACAACTAATTGGATGTGTTTTGGTTGATGTTTTTTCAAATAACAGGACTGTATGATTATGTTCTAGGTTTCGCAGATGTCTGATGGAGGCCAATGACAGCATAGCTGATGTGGTGGGTTATACTTTCTTTAACCTGCTGAAGATGCACTGCTTCGAGTTCTCCCACAGACTCCAGTGTACACAGAGAAACTGGTTTGGCATGTAGGTTAAGTTCTCATTTATAGAACCTAGGTTGATATTTTTACCACAGATACACTAAAAGTCCTCCTGCTTTCTCTCGTTCTACTTTAGATGCAAATAGTTTGGAGTTATTCACTTTGAGTTAGATATTATTTGCGGTGCTAGCTGTTGAATATTGTGACCCAAATTCCTCTAAAAAGAATTACATTGGCTCGAGTCTCAGCTGATTATTGCATTCAGCTCCAATGAGCACATGTGAGCATGCGAAAATGCTAAAGTATCATGGTAGCATAGTGTCTGTAGCCTATACCTGCTAATCAAAAGCTTAGCGCAGAAATTGGGAACATGTTAGCTTAATATTTAAATGACAAATACAAGTATCATACTCTCCTCTCAGTTTGAACCTGCGTTTTGTTTTGTAGGTGTAAAGAAATGAAACTGGCTCTGTATGCGGATGTCCATCCACCGTCACTGTACGAGTCTGAAAATCAGACTGCAGTCAGCATGAACAGCTCCATCATAAACACCACCGTACCCAGAGAACTCCTGGAGAGCAGCAAGTCAGACCCCAAGCTTCACTCCATCACTGCTGCTGCAGCATCCACACCTACGCCCTCGACCAGCTCCACCTCTGCCTCCATCACACCTGTCACCCATGGCAACGCCACAGCTGTAACAAAAACACCCACAGGATCCAAACCAGACAGGCTCGAAAACACTCTACCCACTAAAAACTGGACTCTGCCTCACCTGGATGCCGATATCACAGGTATTAGAACGTCTCTTCGGCAAACCAGCCTCTATTACAGAAAAAAATACAGCAACACATTTACGCTGATGCGTCCTCCCCACAGAGAGGCAGACGTCGTGTGCTGTGTACAAAGATCTGGACTGTTGCAGGAACAAGATCCTCCCCCGGCAGAAGAGATTTGGACTTCACAACCTGGAGACCAGGACGCTGTACCATTGCAACTGTACCAGCAGGTAGATTCAAGATTCAAAGATTCAAAAAACTTTACTGTCTATCACATTGTGACAGAAAATGACCTTTTGTTGAGGCTCAACATGAAAACATACAAACATTCACACTAACACTCGCATTAGGTCATAAATAGCTAAACGTACCCTAAATAGGTAAAAACATATATGCACAGCATTTAAAAAACATTGCTTTTCTAGCCTTGTTTAAAGTGCTTATTGCAGTGGGAATAAAAGAGTTTCTGTAAGTTTTCTTTTTCGCCAGTGGTACTTTAAAACGATTTTAAATCAACTAAGTCAACTCTAGAAAATATTGAGCACTCTGAGTATTTTTATAAGGTTTGAATGTGGCACTATGCTAGTTTTAAAAAAAATTAAATCCCTAGCTATGATTGCTGATTTTTACTCGTAAAAATATGTATAGCAAGTCCCACTGACTGAATGTTTAGACTGCATGTTGTAGTGTGATACCATGTCAACATTACATAACCCTGAAAAGTAAATAATATCACATGTAGATGTGTATACAGACGATATGTGACAAGGGTGCACTCACCTTTATTTCTGTCTGCACGGTGTCACACGGCATGTACAGTATGTGAATAAGGTGATTTATGAATCTGCACACAGCTGATGTGACGGCCTTGGACGTTATCCTAATCTCCTGTCTGCACACACTGCTTTCTTTTTCTGGTTTACTTTTCACCTGACTGCTTCGTTCATCCGCGGTATTTGTTGTTGGTTTTTCTTTTTTTTTTTTGCACTGTCTCTGACGTGTTTTTGTCTGTCCTGCCAGATTATTCCAGACTTTGGCTAAACAGAGAAAACTGACCCAAGTGCAGACTCTCCTTCTGGGAAATGTGTCTAAGTCCTGCTTCCTGACACAGGACTGCACAGCAGACAACATGTAAGTATACAAACACAGACATGGCTCGAAAAACAGACATTGCCACTAGGGCTGGGAATCTTTGGGTGTCTCACCATTCGATTCAGAATCGATTTTCGATTGATCATTGATTCATGGATTATATTTATGGATTAGTACATACATCAGGATCGACTCCAGTCAACTGTGAGACTGGCTGAATTTCTTGCTGCTCCTTTTGGCTTTCTACTGAGTTAAAGAGCTAGCGTTAGCGATTTTTGGAAGTTATGAACTGATTTTAAATCTTAGAAGAGAATATTTTTTTTACATAAATCGATTTTTTTTCCCACCTCTAATTTCCACGATACCAGATTTTTTAACATCCATATAATGTAGGGACTTGTTATTGAGTAATTTTTTATCTTTAATTACAAAAGAATTGCAACTAAACTCCTCCACACTGTTTAAAGTGAACACATTCATGGGCCACATTTCAGTTTCCAATATATTTTTTCTCTTATATTCTTTATTCAGATGTTGTGCAATATGGGTAATGTGAAATATATGTTGCTGTGTTTTCTGCTTTGCACTGGAGCAGAAAACACAGCTGCTGAATGTGTGCAGCACTGGAGTCCAGGAGGAATTTCCACTACGGGACAAAAAGAGTGGAATAGAAAAGAATAGATCTGTATTGTCATTGCCATAAAAACAACAGTTGTTGTCGGTGGCAGCACAGAAAGACGGGCCTGCTGCGTCTGACCGTGCCACCATCTTTCCTGTGTTCTGTGCAAAACATAAAAAGAAGGGTATGGGATTTATCTCTTCCATGGGACTGCTAATAACTGACATCATCTACACAATCAACATTAATGTTTGCATCTTAAAAACAATAGGAAACACTGATTTTATCTTCAAAAATGTGTTTATTTGCACAGTCACTATTCACCTAAATAGCTGTCAAAAATGTAAAAGGGAATAAGAAAGACAATGTTCCTCTCAGTCTAATGTAGTAAAATAGAGGTATAGATATATTAAAATGTAAAATTCTTATTGAAAACAAGAATCTAAACATTATACTTCTGTTAAAGAAATGGAGGAGATGTGCTTCAGTTAAATACAGCATGACGAATCTCCCTTTGCTTCCCCCTTGTTTAACAGCTGTACAGCAGTTCCGGTGCAAGCACAGCTTCCTCAGCCGGATAAGAGGTTCGGTACAGACATGGAGGAGCAGCGCCATCTGCAGGCCGTCACCCAGAAGGTCAGACGGCTAAACAGCAGGCGAGGGAAGAGAAAAGACAGAGCAGTGAGGCTGCACAGACTGTGCCTCAAGATGAGCCGAGCCAAACACAGCAAGATGCTCATCAGCAGGATGTGAGCAGGGAGAACTTGTGTAAATGTTAATATTATATAAAGAGTTTAAGGGTTCAATGTTCTAATGTGATAAATAAGACATTATACGATAAGCAGCAGCAGATTAAATCATCCTAATATTGTGAAATAATACATTTTATTATTTTTTAGGTCATTTTTCCTGCTAAAGGTTTTACTTAGTATAAAACTGAGAACACTTAATCTCTATTAACTTATTTCCAAACAAGCTGATGACATAGAAAACAGAAGAAATAAGATTGTAGAAAAGCTGGAATCAAATTAAAGTTTCCTGCAAAGAAGGAGGATGAATCATTTGGTAAAGACCAGCACATTCATCATCTTTATTGTCTGCAGAGTATCCATACTATGAACTATTTTATGTCTTATTTATTTAACATTGAACACATTGTAGTATTTTGTGTACATATTTGAACATCAGGGATGTTGTGAATCTAAATTGTGACCAAATTATGGAAAAATAGACAACAAAAGTATACAACTGTACCTGCAAAACATCAGCTAAGCTTGATTTGGCATTGAGAGCACTTGAACTGAATCTTGAATACTGACGTTAGTATTTATCTCAAAGCATAACTTTGCCTAAGAACAATTTCAGCTGCTAGCTTGTTCTGCTATAAATCAAAATGTCTTCCATGAAAAGGATTTGATACTAGTGTCTCTCTTTCCTCGTTACAAAGCGAGGACATTTTACCGACCTTTGACTAAACCTTTTCAAACGTTTAGTCTGTATAGGCACAGTGGTGAGCGTTCAACACTCAGTGTGGTTGTAAATATTTGTAGTATGAGTTGAAGAAGATTTAGAAAATGACTCAGCAATTTTGTATGTAAATATTTGTACATAAAAAGTTTGTTGGAATATTCCATTTATGACGTGAGAAAGACATGTATGACTGATGGACTTATAAAGGAATAGATTGATATTTTTGTAAATGTGCTTAACATGAAGCTAAAGCTGAGGGCTAATCTTAAATTAAGCAAACACCAGTTTGAGGGGGAAAACTAGGCTGACGTTATCCAAAGATAACAAAAAGCACAGATAGCAGTTATCGCAAAAGGAGGAACAATGAAGTCTTATTTTAGTTTAATTTCTTTAAATAAAGACGTGCGTGCACTAATGTAATGTACTAATGTACTAATATGAGCAAAATTGGTGCGTGAAAAAGAAAATATGCCTCCAAAACAAAACAAAACAAAGAACATATCCATGGCACCTCCCGGGCTCCGTAGTTCAGAGCGATAGTTGTTATTAACCAACTTTGTAAAGAGCTAAACTAGCTCCTATCCTCTTAATGTTTCAGTAGCGGGAACCTTTAGGTCGTTAATGCTAGATAATTCATGAAAGCTGAAAACACACACAAAAATAAAAAAATACAGATCCATTTTTAAACAATACAACATAAAATATCTACGCTACAGTTTCTGGTAGTAGGATTTTGTCAAGTTTAGCCATAGCTAGCCTAGCAGTTTTCCAATTGTTTCCAGTCTTTATGTTAAGCTAAGCTTTTAATTTTTCGTAATTGCACATCTTTCAGCCTGAGAAAGTGAATAAAATGTCTCCTAAAAGGTGAAACTTTTTAATGTAAATGAGCCAAACTCGCACCTTATCGCAATATTTGAAGCTAACTTTTATTTTTTTACTTTGCAAAGAGCCAAACTAGCTCCTATTGCCTTAACCAGCTTGTTTATGGTTAGATTAATCCATGAAAGCACCCTATAACACACAGACAAATAGAAAAATTACAAATTACAAATCAATTGTTAACCAATTAACGCACAGATAAAATGTCTACTAGGCCTTTATAGTTTCTGGTGGTAGGATTTTGTCAACTGTAGCCAAAGCTAGCCTAGCAGTTCAGTCTTTATGCTAAACTATGCTAGGATAATTGATAATTTCACATTTTTAGAGCTGAGAAAGTGAATAAAATGTCAACCAAAATGTTTTCCTGTTTAATGAATATGTTATGAACACTTGCCTTTAAAACTGCAAATGTTACCTGTTTAATAATTTATTGTTTTCTGCTGTTTTTGTTTTTGTTTTTGTCAACCCAGTAAAAGTTTCAAACCTTTGACAAATTGTGTTAAATTATTCCACAACAACAAACACTGAAGAGCATCATCACTTTTAACCTCTGTTTTTGTATTACGACACCATCACACCTAATGATGCTAATCGTCCCTGACTGAAGAGTCATTTTTACAATTTCACATTTTTAGAGCTGAGAAAGTGAATAAAATAATAATATATTTATTTATATAGCACCTTTAAAAACAAATGTTTACAAAGTGCTGTGACAGACAAAGCAAATACAGCAAAACAACAACAGAACAGAGATCAACAGAGAGGCAAAATTATAAAAATGCAAATAACAGGAATAATATGGAGTCAACAGGCAGGTATGGAGAGGCAGTTCAGTACAACAATGAAGGAAATTAGTTTAAAATCAATCAGGGGAAAACAAAATTAAGATTGAGGGAGAGTGGGACAACATCACAAAAAATGTCACACAAAATGCTTTCCTTTTTAATGAATATGTTATGAACACTTGCCTTTAAAAACTGCAAATGTTACCTGTTTAATAATTTATTGTTTGCTGTTTTTCTTTTGTTTTTGTCAATCCAGTAAAAGTTTCAAACCTTTGACAAATTGTGTTAAATTATTCCACAACAACAAACACTGAAGAGCATCATCACTTTTAACCTCTGTTTTTGTATTACCACACCATCACACCGGCAGTGTTAAAATAATAATTTGAACCAATGAACATACAGATAAAATGTCTACTAGGCCTTTCTGTTTCTGGTGGTAGGATTTTGTCAACTGTATAACTGTTCCTGACTGAAGAGTAATTTTTGCAATTTCACATTTTTAGAGCTGAGAAAGTGAATAAAATGTCAACCAAAATGCTTTCCTTTTTAACGAATATGTTATGGACACTTGCCTTTAAAAACTGCAAATGTTACCTGTTTAATAATTTATTGTTTTCTGCTGTTTTTGTCAACCCAGTAAAAGTTTCAAACCTTTGACAATTGTGTTAAATTATTCCACAACAACAAACACTGAAGAGCATCATCACTTTTAACCTCTGTTTTTGTATTACCACACTAACACTCCCGGCAGTGTCGTAATGAATATCTGTCAGGTAACTCAACTCCTCTGTGATGTCATGAAGGGTAAATTGAACCCTCCGCTTGCTGAAGGCTGGGAGGCAGCCAGGGAGCTCCGACCGGATCCCCGCCTCTCACCGGACTCAAATTCCGCTATGGGGAGAAGGTCGGCTGTGGGAACATGGCGCAGTTACTCTGGATTAACTTCCCTCAGGAGAAACTCTGGAGCATCGCTACTTGGCACACAAACTCTCCCCGTATCCACCGACAAGTGAAGCCACTGTAAACCCAGCAGAACCCGCTTTTCTCCGCTCCACTCGTGTTGTTTTGGAGAAGTTTTCACCAGTCCTGCCTTCACTGTTGTTACTGCTGTGTGTGTGTGGGATGAGAGTTTGGAGCCGCCGGATTTAGCAGAGAAGAGAGCAGGATGGAAAAGCAAAGAACCAGGAAAGAAAAGGTAATGCTGCATGCACAATGGGGGGGGGGAAACAATGGTGTGCATGTTTTATTTAGAGCTGGAGCAAAAAACGTCAATCCGCTGCAGGAGGTTGAGGAAAGCGAGAAGGAAAGTTAGTTGGCATTAAGTTACAAACTCTGTGGTAGTTTTAAAGACCAACAGGCTGCTCCAGTGGTGGAAGAGGTTACTTACAGCTTTTAATGTAACAGTAGCCTACCACAGTGTCAAAAATACTGAGTCCCACATTTCACTCTTTTGCATCAAATTGAGGTGCAAAAATGCAAATTTCAGGATCATAGTTTTTGATGCTTCATCACTTAAAGTGGCTGCTGACTTATGTAGGAGTCATTTTATGTATTTATGTAACATATAACTTTGTATAGATAACTGCTGGGTGACTTGTGAAGTCTTATTCATAAAACATCACAGTTTGTTATGCAAGTTAATTGGATTTAATTCTCATTTAGTCAGCTAAAGTTATTACATAGACGCAGTGAAGTAGGCCTACACAGTACAACATTTCCCTCAGAGATATGGTGTTAAAATATGACATAGAATTGAACCTTAAAGTATCATAGGCCTACTAGCTGCATAAATAAACCCAAATCTAGCTGCTTGGCTTCTCGCATAAGATAAACTAAGATAATCCTTTATTTATCCCACAACGGGGAAATTTGCAGTGTTACAGCAGCAAAGAGCAAAGATTGCAAACAGAAAGTGAACACGGTACACAGTTTAAATAACAAAAGAAAACTTAAAAATGTACAAAAAATAGATAGATACAAATATTTATTCATAAATTGTCAATTTAGACAATCAGTGTAAGACGAAGAGAATCAAAATAAAGTATGTTATGTACAAAGAGAGACACATGTTTTAAGTTACTCTCAGACAAAAAGGTTTAAAAGGGTTTTTATAATCCAATTCTAATCCCCCCAGTCATGTGCATGATCCTGACAAGTCAACAGCAGACTGTATGAGGTCACATCCTCAGGTTAACAGTAGTAAAAAATAATAACAGCTTTCAGGAAAGATAGAAATAGACTGACTCACGGCATTCGATGAGATAAAGAGGAACAAAGGCTGGTTCAAGTGCATGATCTGTTTTTAATCGCACATCCAAGGAGGTCGAATGAAAAAGGAGTACAGATGAGTAATCGGGAAAAGCAAAAAAAAAAACACACAATGTCAGAGTGCACACAATGTGTTGTCAACTTTTTGTTACAGTGACCTTTTGATTGCAATTTTTTGCAATTAAAAAACAAGAAATAACTCAGAACTGAGAGCCAAATGTCGCTCTTTTTGTTTCCATGGTAACAGAACAGGTATAGATATTGTTGATTTTTGCTTGTTTGGTATGGAAGTTTACAATTCCTGTATCGTGATCGCCTTCAAAGAAACACATTTTGATATTTTTGCTTGACTATGACATCAATACACTGAGAAACACCTTTTTTTTAAACTCTCGTCTTAAACCCTTTTCTTCTTACAAATATACACAAACGGATGCTCTAATATGTTTACTCCATTCATATAAACAGTGTGATAAGAATCGTCCTGCCGCCTTGTAGCGTCAACCCCTCGGTGTGAGTTACATTAGAGATCAAAGCGCTGCGTTCAGGGACTGTTTCCTCTCCTCCTGGTATTCAGACCCCCAGCTTCGTCACTGTTCTCCAGGAATGTTGACCTGCGCAGAGGAGAGTCTAGGAGTGTGTGTGTGTGTGTGTGTGTGTGTGTGTGTGTGTGTGTGTGTGTGTGTGTGTGTGTGTGTGTGTGTGTGTGTGTGTGTGTGTGTGTGTGTGTGTGTGTGTGTGTGTGTGTGTGTGTGTGTGTGTGTGTTCCTAATCTTAGAATCACTAGTGCAGGATATTCATGTTGTGTTTTTAATATAAATGACAATAAAAAGTGTCGTTCCTTTAACTTGATCTCGTTGCCGACACACTAAACTACGGTGACCGACAGGTGCAAGCGTTCTGCAGAGGCCGAAACGACTCACATGAAGTCGTTTTAACGATGCAACTTTACCGTCTACACAAAACACTTAGTGCCTGGTCTCTCCCTCACTCTCCCCCGCGTCAATAATAAACGAACCCACAGAGCGCCCCTGCAGGCCCGGAGCACTTCTGTTGAAAAGGCTGGATTTGTAGAGTTTGTCTATTTGCCGTTGTGTTCTGAATATGTGTGTTTTTGTATCGTTTGTATTTGCAGCGTTGAGTTAGTTGTGGATGTTTGCAGTTACTGTTTTCCTGAATGTGAGTCGTTTAAGCATTTTTATCGAGCAGCTCTTTCACCTGTCGGCCGCCCTACCAAACACCACATTTCCACATTTTCCTACTTTGTACTACTTTCCAATCCACTGCAATCTGGAGGCAATATAATATTTTATTCTCTCCTACCTCCACTGTTTAGTGTGTTCGTGTGATAACTTTATTTTTGCATACTTGTATGAGTCACATCATGACCCAGCAACACTTCCCACCTCCTGCTGTGAGATCCTGCGGTGTTACTGAGCCAGATGAGATATGAAATCTGTCCAGGGTTCAGAGTCTGAGCCGGTTTGAAGTTTTTTAAAAACACCCTCAAGTTTTCACTAATACACTGCAACAAATATACCCATGATTTCCCCTAATCAGCCCGTATATTGGTTTGTCTGTTTTTATCATTTAGGTTTGAGACGTCCGTCTGCAGCGATGATCACTGTCTTTCACTGAAATTTGTTGCACTGAGCGACTACAGGCAGCTGTCGACTTGTCTACATGTGTCTACTGTGTAAAACAAAGCACCTTTATTTAGCTGCTGCAGGAACATGAAACTGAACCACACAGACAGGTGACACAACAGATCACATCCTGATGAAGCCGATTTCACACACGCAGCAAGTCCCAGCATCTTGTTGTGCTTCCGATCTAAAGCGGCAAAAGACGGGAGAGGTGAAGACGTTTCGGGACCTTTCAATACTCTGCGTTAAAATAAAAGAGATTTTATTGTTTAAGGAGGACATATCATCCCCCTTTTTCACCTTTTCAAACAGCCCCCCTGTGGTCTAAATGAAACATCTGTGCTGTGCTTTGGTCAAAATATAACATGAATCAAGCACCAGAGAGGTTTGTGACCCTGTATAAACCAGCTCTCTCAGAACGCTCCGTTTTGGTGTGTGTGTCTCTTTAAATGCAATGACCCCCCCCCCCCCAACCCGAGTTTTCCCGGTAGACATCAATCGTCTGTAGCGAGAATAAAAATAGTGGATCTTTGCAAAAGTTTTGCTCTAGGCTGGGGGTGGAGTCCATGGGTGGAGATGCTAAGGGGAGGAGATCTATTTTTTTTTTTTTTTTTACCAGAATCCCACTATGACATCACAAGGAGAGCACATTATAAACAGAGCATTTTTCTCTGTGTTGTAAGACCACAAACAAAGGACTGGATGGGTTTATTTCACATTTTGTGGGTTGGTAGACACTCAGGTTACACAAATATATGTTCAAAAACACTGAGAAAGGGGATTTTTCATAATATGTCCCCTTTAAAAAAAACATTATATCAAAAAGTGTCAAAGGACCGATCATTTATGAAACCTTGAAGTGAAGTATGAGCCAGTTCTGCAGCTTCCTTCAGCTACATGAAGCCTCATATTTGTGTTCCAGTTCATTGTTTTGGTCAGAACGTTTTCTGCTCTGATTCCTGTTTTTGCTTCGCTCAGGCAGAGCACCTGCGTAACACAATAGGGTGTTTTCGAAAAAATAACAATTTTCCTTTAAATTCATGTTTTGCTACATTTCGTCAGCACTCGGTTGTTTTTGAGCCAAAGAGGAAAAGGTGACAGCTGTGCCGCTGACCGGGTTCCCTACACAACCTGCTCTGATTTGTGTGATTGCATAAGTCCAGCCTGACCTCCTGTCCGTACTTTTCTTCTTCTGCTGCATTAAATATGTTCCAGTTCAGCAGTAATAGGCTTAAAGATTTACAGCTCCATACTCATGATATATGGACCTCTTTGTTTATTACTGCAACCACTGCCCTGGTTACGTGTTAAACAAGCTCTGCTTTATGTCGCATTATTCATGTTTCATAGCAACATGTGAAACATGATGATGAATAGGAACACCAGTGAGAAAGAATAAAAGGGAGCTGTAAACAAAAAGGACTGATGATAAGAAAAGTAAAAGGTCGATTATTTACACAATTACACAAATATTTTAATTGAAATTAATATGTTTTACTTTTTTTTTGCTTCAAATTTAACATTTAAAATTGAAGCAGGAGCCAAACTTTTCTGACCGTTTTGTTTCAGAGTGGTGCCATAGACGCCGAGAGAGGTGGTCATTAAAGTTTCAGTTTTCTTTTTTCATATCACAATATATATCGCAGGGGGAAAAAAATGTCGTTTTTTTCCAATATCGTGCAGCCCTACTTCACCGAGATTACATCTCTCTCGAAGTCTTCTTTTTGTTTGCAATTTGAGAAGTGTTGGTTAGATTTCTTTGGCACAAATATGATTCCATACTATTTTGGAGATAGGACAGTAGATTGAGCCAGAAAGCGGGGGGAGAGAGAGATTGGGGAACGACATGCGGGAGACGAGATACAGGTCGGATTTGAACCTGGGCCACCCGTGCATGAAGACCACAGCCTCTTTACATGGGCTGTGCGCACTAACTGCTAGTCTACCAGCGACTCTTTGACATTTTTTCTTATCTTAACCCTCCTGTGCTCAGAAGAAATGAATTGGCCAAAGAAGAAGAAGAAGAAGAAGACAGGAAAAAGTCAAACAGCGGTGAAAAGAAAGAGATCCTGCACTTTGCCTTTTAAAGGACATTTAATGTTCTTCAGTTAATCAGATATTGTGATGTTCATTGTTTATCATATCTCAGAATCGCTGTATCATGATGTCATCATGGTCCACATATCGTATCGTGACTCGTCGTGATTCCCATCCACAATGTGTACTTAATGTTAATGTTAATGTGTTGTTCTGTTGTGACACACGAGCGACCGAACTGACAAACTGACTCTTGTTTTCTGAATGTTTTCCTGCAGTTTATTTGAAGTGAATCATCGCTGCGGTTTCAAACTGTCTTCATGTCTTTCCTCGCCTCTTAACTGTCTGGCGATGCATTTTGCTAAAGTTTCAGGAATCCCTCCAGTCTGCATATTTTCAGCGTGTTTTGAACGATTGTGTGTTTGTACATGTAAGAGAGAGAGAGAGAGAGGAGGGAACAGAGAGGGATAATGAAGGCCTTGGTGTTCGCTCTGGTGAAAAGACAAATTTGGAAACACCAGATGAGGGGAGGGAGCTGCGTCTCCCTGTTCATGCTGCAGAGAGTTAACCTCAGTGAGCACGTTTTTACACAGAGCTTCAGCGGCTGTGACTGAGGAGAATGAGGAGAACAGAAACCTCGTCTGACTGACTGATTCTCCGTCTAACTTTCCTCCTTTTCACTCTCTGTGTCTCTGAGGAATTCAAGCTGAGCAGAAAAGAAAACTTCACGCTGCAGTTTGGTTGTCCCATTTTGCCAGAAACCGCAGTTTGATTTGATGCAAATGAGGCCGCCGCCGCCGTGCTTCGATGTCAGACTGGGCAGAATCTGCCTCCCAATAATTAGTTTTTGTTTATGACTTATGTTACTGCGGTCAGAGGAGCTTTTCCTTTGTCTGTAAAAACATATTTATAATCAACAACAACATCATTATGGGCTTCTCTCATTCAGTTCATCTCACAGCACTCTCTCACTGGTAACATTTAAATGCACGAAATGTTCAGCCGCACTATGATACTCTGATTAAAACACAAAATATCTCTTAGTTAGTTGAATACTTTTGTCCCAGTTTGCAAACTTTGGTCATGTCGCTCCTTTAGTTCAACCTCGATGTTGAACCTGCAAGTTTTGCAAAACTGTTTTAGGCACGAGGGATTCCCAAAAAAACTCCCAAAACCTTTTCAACAGATGCCCGTAAAACCTGAATAAGATCAGCATTTGCAAAATGTTTGGCTCAAAATGTTAACTTACGATATGAGACCTTATTGAGAATATTCAAAAGAATTTTAAAAGATTCATATTTTTAAAAATCCCACATTTTGAGGAATAACAGTCAAACATTAGTGTGCATGGAAAAACATTCACACAGATTAAGATTTTGGAATGTAAGTGTAGCCCAACCTGTGCTCACATCTCTTTTGACACAGATTCAGAGATTCAAAGTTCTAAAAAACTGTAAGTGAGTGTCTTTGAAGGCGCAATAGTGTCCTGGCTGTGGTTTGCGGCTGCAGCAACTCAGTGAAAACTAGAAATTTTCCTTTGTTACTAATTTAATTCAACGGAAATTTAAATTCAGACGGTGAGAAAACACTCAAAGAAAGTCTAAACTGAGCTGCAGGTTTGCTGAGTGTTGCTAGCATTGTCATCCATCAGTCCTCCCTGCTGGTTAACATCCACAGGCCCGTGTTTATTATTGTTACACATTGCTCTGACTCTGTCGCAGTTTAAGCTGAAACAGCCTACATTCATTTTTATCTCAATTTTCAAGATCATAATTCTGCCAAATCGTGCTGCTCCTCCAAAATGCAATCTGTTCACTGTGTTTGTTTAGATCCTGGTAGTAGAGCAGGAAGAGCAGAACCATTGACCGGAGCTACAGGAAGTCTAGCTACAGCCCCGTCTAGTGGTGTGTTGTTGCATTACAGCCTTAGCATAAAATTAGACCAGCATCGAGTACCTGCATATACAAATGTGAATTATTAATGGGTTTCACCGACCAGTACATCCACTGCTGACTGGTGACATTTAACTAAACATTGACTAAACATGCGCATCCCTAGTTTTCATTGTCATCTTAACTCTCCTAATTTTCTCCTAAGATTTTCAAACAACTGTTAATGAAAAGTTAAAAGAAATAGTTCAAATTTGCAGCATCCAGGAGTTAAAAGTGTGAGTTTTAAAGTCTCCAGATGTTCCAGTTTTCCAGTAATGATTAAAAAATATCAAACATTTCACACTGATGAACCGTTTAAATGTTTGTTTTAGCTCCATTCATGAACAGATAAATTGACAGATGTCTCCTCTCCTTGTCCTCCCCTCCTCTTCTCCTCCTCCTCAGTTCTCTCTGTTCGGTTCTCGCTCCACCAGCAGGACCGCCGTCCCTCCCTCTTCCTCCTCCTCCTCGTCCTCTCCCGTCATCCCTCCTTCGGCCCCTAAATTAAAAAAGGCCGACCGCCCGCCCGCCTCCAGCCCCCCCGATCCACCCGGACCGCCCGGTCTGAGCAAAGCAGAGTTCCTGGAGCGCGTGCGTCGCAGTAACCAGGCCTGCCAGCAGGGGGAGTTTGCTCTGGCCGTGCGTCTGTACAGCGAGGCTCTGACCGCCGACCCACAAAACTGCATCCTGTACAGCAACCGCTCTGCAGCCCACCTGAGACTGGGTCAGTACAGCACGGCTCTGGACGACGCCATCAAAGCTCGACTCATCAATCCAAAGTGGCCAAAGGTAAGAGACCCTCGGTTAACCCCTCCCCCAATTACTACAAGTATTGTATGAGCAGCTAATTACGAACTCTTCTAATCAACATGTTTGCCTCTTTGCTGCTGGGTGTCATTTTCAAGTTAAGATCCCGCTTGATATCATCTTAAATTATTTCTTTTAGTCGGCCAAATAAGTGTCTTTTTGGAAAAGTGCAAGTTGGCACTTCGTACAGTTTGGCTCCTCTCAGTCGTCTTGTTTAATTTTGATTTCTACATTAAAACAAGCCTGTCTATTTGAACAGTGCGGCCCACATGTTGTGCTTTCATAGCAGAATGTTGAGCTTGTGCTGACTTATTTATTTGTCTGACAAGTTTATTTGGACGGGACAGCGCAGACATAACTCAGCATAATGAGGCATCACTGTTAAAATGCTGCCGTTTGGGAGAGCTGGTGTGATGACAGATATGACGACGTTGAGCTGAACAAGGAGACGGACTGATGTTGAGGACACTTCAGTGCCTTCTCTTGCATCAATAGAAAAAAATGAAGTCCAGCTGGTTGTTTCACTACATGTGAGTAGCTCCTCTCACAGGATAAAAATGCTGTAATACACTACACATTTAGAATATATATATATATATATATATATATATATATATATATATATATATATATATATATATGAAGCTCCACCTTCATTACATCTTTGTGCATTCATAATGATTCTACAACGACATAAAACAGTGCACAGCACAGCACGAGCTCCACATACACACACAGTCAGACATGCACACACACACACACACACACACACACACACCCCCCAGTGCTAAAGCCAACCCGTGGCCCGGGCACCCGAGGGAGGGGGGCGGGTGTTTGCAAGTTTTTGTCGTCTCTGATTTTTCTAAATTAGATTTGCACATATTGACTCAAGTCATGACAACAAACTTACTGTTCAATAAAGAAAAGTGCCTTAGAGTTTTATGAATATGTCTTTGTCTCACCCTAATATATAATTAAACTTCTAGAACTTTTTCTTTGTCATTTTGGCAAAATATTATGAGAACAATCATTGAACTCATCTTAAATTGCATAAAATTCAAATTTTTACTTTCAACTCCTCTTGTAAGAAGTGTTCCCTTCATTATTTCTTGTTTTTTTTCTTAAAATATTCTTCCTTAGTATCTTCAACTCTCGGCTCAGCCTAAGATTTTATACTTTGAACTTTTGAACTTTTGACATCAGACGACCCTCTCCTGCTGTTTTTCAATTGACAGTTCATTTTTTTTCACTTGGTATGTGGAAGGTTCTGATGTGCAGTGTTTCCCATGTCCAGCACAGTTAGAAAACTCCATCATGAAGTGCTTCTGGACACTCGGAGCCGCTCTTTTGGTGAACTGGTGAATGGAGTGAGTGATGGGGGAGCTCGGAGTCTTTTAAAGGCGTTCAGAGGAAACAGGCAGCAGACCGGGGCCTGCCAGGGCTGCCTTCTGTCTGGACAGCTGGGGCCGCGCCAGCTCCACTCCACTTCCTTTCTCTGTGCGAGAGAATGGACGGAAGTGCTGTTTGGGTGTGTGTGTGTGTGTGTGTGTGTGTGTGTGTGTTTGCGTGTGTATGAGCGAGAGAGAGAGAGAGAGAGAGAGAGAGAGAAAGCTTTGCACGGCTCTTATTTTGTTTTTCAAACTGTGGCCAGGCCTTGGCCCGAGTTTGTCACTTAAAGACAATAACAGAAGCAGCATTCCTTGGTGTGTGTGTTTGTGTGTGTTTCTGTGTGTGTGTGTGTGTGTGTGTGTGTGTGTGTGTGTGTGTGTGTGTGTGTGTGTGTGTGTGTGTGTGTGTGTGGTGGCGGTGTCATAGCATTGGGCTCGCCTCTGCATTCTCCGTGGGTCAAAGGCAAGGTCAAGATTAATGAAGTAGCAAAGCGAGCGAGTCTTTTTCTGAGCGCGACGTTTACTTCTGCTTCACTTCTCTCTTTCTGCCGTCACCTTCTCTTTTCCTTTTCTCGCTCCCCCCCTCCACTATTCTGTTGGCTCAACAGGCCCAGACACACACTCACTGTATGAAACACACACACACACACATACACACACACACACACACACACACACACACACGCACACAAAAGTAAAGGCGACTGGGTCATGGGAACAGAGGGGTGTAACTGGTCAAAAAGTCGAGTATGTTTGTGGTCTTATCAGGATAACAACAGAGTACAGAACAACAAAACCTCTCTTTGCATTTGGAGGTTGTTTTCTTGTGTGGGTTTTTTTTTCCCGGCAGCTTTATCTTTTTTCTTCTCCGTGCGTTCACTCGGCGGCTCTGAGAGACTCTTTTGTTTCTTTGTGATTCAAATGAAGTCACATCACCGAAGTGCAGGAGCGAAAAAGCCTTTTTTTCTTCTTTTCTTCTTTTGACTATTTAAACGTTTCTCTCCTGAAGACTCGCCTGTTTGTGTCTGAATGTTTGCTGTCGTGCTGCCCGCACGCTCGCTCTGTGTGTTTTTTGTTTGGGGTATTTGGAGAGGTCCGTCACACAGGTGCATTTATTCAGATTCTTAATCTCTGTAAGAGCGGTGTGGGAAACTTCTGCTTCTCCTCACAGGCTGCTGTAGAGTTTATTTGTCTGTTTGGTCGTCTCCAAGAAAAGAAGAAGCTTGATCATCTAATTTAAGATAAACTAACTCAACTGCGTTCAGGATGCTGAAGTAAAACCGTTTGTTGAGGGGCCTTGAACTCACCTTAAACATCTTTAACTGATGAACCCCTTTCTCCCCCATATGAGGCAAAAATCAAATCTGCTCTGATGCTCCTTCATATGACTTTACATAATCATGTTGCATACATTCTTTTATGCGGAAAATACAACATTGGATCATATAAATATGTAAGGGAATAGAACTATGTTGAGGACCACGTGCAACTCGGAGATAATGATGTGGATCATTCAGAAAACAGAGCAGATTTTTATTTTCTCATGAAAATGAGAATGCAGTTGCATGAATGCAGTAGGCTTCTGTTATAACCTCCGTCGAGAACCTTTGACCATAAGTAGAGCCAATATATGTGATTAATGCGGCAGAAAAAAAATAGCCTAGCGGTTATGTCGTGTGCCGCCACATCAGAATCAGAATCAGAATCAGAAATACTTTATTAATCCCAGGGGGAAATTAGTTTGCTGCAGTTGCTCATAACACCAAAAATCAGTAGGAAGTACAGATAAGTTCACAATATCAAATAAAATAAAAATAGTAATAGCAATATAATAAGCATAAGTACCAAGTGAAAGCAATAAGGAAGTAGTAATAAGTAATAAGCTGTGTTCAAGTGCAGGTAATTGAGAATATAAACAATATTTACAAATATGAATACACACTGATGGATTAACAGCGTAGATATTGCACAGTTCATGTATAGATTAGCACTTTTGATGTATAAATATTGTCCAGTTTTCAACAGATTGCACAGTTTTAGTAGAGAAATAGTTAAGGAGGCTGTAGTCCTTGTCGCAGCGGCTGTGGGTTCGAGTCCGACCTCGGCCCTTTGCTGCATGTCATACTCCAATCTCTCCTCCCAAAAAAGAAACAAAAACAAGTAGTTCTGTGGCGCAGATACGGTAAGTTAGGTTGCGCCCCATGTATGGAGGATATGTCCTCAAAGCGGGCGGATCGGGTTCAAGTCCGACCTGTGATTCCAAATTTCTAAATAATAAAGGCGATAAAGCGCAAGGAACAAACACACATAAAAGTTTCATTAGCGTATAAACGGTTAGAAAATAATGATCGTTGTGTTTTTGTAACCTTTTTTAAGTTTTCTACAGTAGCCCAGAATGGACAAAGTAGTCAGTGGCTTCAGAGAAAGAGTTTCAAGTTTTTGTTAGTTTGATCCACCGCAGGTTTTCTGAAGAGTTGTTTGAACATTTTCTCACCCTGTGTGAGTTCAACATGTCAAATCCAACCATATGAAACACCTGGAAACTTCCCCGATGGTTTCAAGATGAGCTGAATGTGTGAACACAAACCACTGACATCTTCACTCTCACTTTTACTGCGAGTGTTTTCCTGCTGCTGAATTCTCTCCAAGCTGTAAGCAGCACATACAAAGTATGAATTTGTCCCCATCAGTAGAGGAAAGACAGAATCTGTCCCAAACTATTTGTGTAAGTTAACACTTTTAAAAGTAAGTCAAAAATTAGATTATTTTGAAATGTTTTGGACCAGTCCTTTAATCCTGTGGGTGTCAGTCAGGTTTCCAAACTTCTTCTAAACATTCTGCTATGGGACTCTGGAATCAGATCATCAGCAGCGAGCATTAAAACCCCGCTCTCTGCTCTGAAGTAGATCCAACCAGATGGCAGCCAGCTCCGCCTGTTTACCCAGAAGCCCTCAGGGCCGGACCCGCTCCCGCTCAGGCTTCCCCCTGTCATTAAGAAACTTCTCTCCAACCGCACGCTGCAAAAAATATGACCGACATACGCTCAGAGGAAGCTCAGAGTACCGTTTTTGTGTGTGAGAGCGGGGGGACCTTAAATAATCCTGTTCAGGAAGGTTTCCCCCCCACATGACAGAGTTGAAAGGATATCATGATCTGATCTGAGAGATGGAGGAGATTCAATTTCTGCTGTTTGTGTTCCACCCTGAGAGTCGGCGGTCTCATGATGTGCTGCTAACGTGTTATGTTTGTCTGTGTCTTAAACTGTGTCATGGAGACCGGAGTCTGGGTCATGGAGGGTAATCCACGACTGACTGCAGACCATGTGAGGAGAGGGGACGGAGTCGGTGTGTGCATGCACGGGGAGATATTACACCGGGCGTGCTCCACTTTAGTAACTTTCTGTACACAAAACAAAATAGTTATGTGTCTGTGTTTAGGGTTTGTCATGACCAGGATTTAACACCTCAGTTTTTTATACTACTGGAACTCAAACTGTTTGGTAACCACGGCAACAAAAGAAGGAGTCGGCACACAGTACTGGCTAATCTCTTTATTTATAATCACCAAAAATTGCAAGCAAACTTCTGCACAATA